CATTAGCACCTCTAGTAATATGTTTACTGAGAAAAATGGTGACGTGTTCAATACTTATTTTACCCGCTGTATAAGTGTGTCTGCTTTAACCCAGTTATCTACAGTATTTGATTTGAGTTAAAGGGGTTACCTGTTTKTTGGTAGTATTTTTTTCTGTACACTTTCTAATTCTGTSCTCTCTTCTGTTCTTAGAATCTCCTCAGTTGTCCTCACCTCTCTCCACCGGCAATCATGTCCAGGATAATGAAGATCTGTGCCCTGATTATTACAGTCAGGTTTCTGCAGAGCCGCTGGACAGAGAGGATGAGCGTCCAGTGAGCYTGGTGTCCACCTTGTCTTCTGGTTCATCTCGAGACAGTCAAAGCCTCTTTGGAAGCACAGTGGCCCTTTCATCTTCTACCACACCTCCCATACCAGGTGAGGAGGACATAGATCTGGAGCTGAGCCCAGCTGAAGGCAACAGAAAGCAGGCTGGAAATCAGAGTCCAGTCTCTGAAGGTTTTTGTGGTCACTGGCGGGAACAGCTMGAGGTCGATGTGATCAACAATCAGTGGAACAACAACAACGTCACTACCGGCAGGACGGCAAGCGGTATTTCACCTCACATCAACGCTTCGCCTGTTGTCACGGACGCCATGGCGCCCAACCCGAAGCTGACCTATGTGGACCGTGTGGTCATGGAGATCATTGAGACAGAGCGCATGTATGTCAGAGACCTGCGCAGCATCGTGGAGGTGAGTGGTTGTCAGAGAAGGGGGTCACTGCTGTCACTAAGTGGGAGTTTCTTGTTTTGTGGGAGGAGTTTGTCAAAGACATGAGTGGTGGAACTGAAGCCATAACAATTGGATGAACGCTGAGGGGGAGGGTAGCATTTAGCTCAGTTGAATCGTCCAGAAAGCACCCATATACGTTTAAATATAAATATTAATCATAACTTCAGACAGGAAGGTACTAGTCACWCCAAATTTGAAGTCAGTAAATTCTGTTTAAATGTTGATTATTTTTATTTGAGACATTGTTCTGTTTTAAATTATAAATGGACAATCAATAATTTATATTTACGTTTACAATAATTTTACTTTTACCATTATCAACTTTCCTCACAAGACAATTCATTTCAACCAATCGTGGTTTTGCTAAACTCCACCCACCTAAGAACCTCTGTCTATRTTCCAAACTTCACCAATAAGATTTAGGACAACCTCTGCACACACCAGGAACTATGCCAGTCAAGGTAGTGACAACAGTGTTTCCTATAGGGAATTGGTCTTGGGGCTGGGGGACGACATAAATTTGCATGGATTGTGTAAGCATAATTTTGCACGACTAACCTTTTCATTATTGTAATACATTTACACATATGTGAATATTTGACTGCCTGATGAAATCTTAATGTTAAAGACTTCTCGTGATGATCATCAATAATAATTTATTGTAATAAATTATTATTGATGATAATTGATCATAGCTCTGTGCAGCAGCTGAGTCCATAATTCTCAGTTTGAATCACTTTTGGAGCTCTAGGTGTGACTGAGAGTGTGGCTGGTTGTTTGTCTTTGTGTCTCTGATGAAATGGAGACCTGTCCAGGTGTCCCCTGCCTTCACCCAAAGGCAGCTAGGACAGGCTCCAGCCCCCACCCTGGTTAGGAACAAGGACAGAATGGATGAAGGATTTTTTCTTCATAGCAGGAAGCAGACATTTTATTATAAAACATTATTTTATGCTAAACTGATTCATTTTAGTGTATTTTGTAAATATGTTTGACATTTTTGTAGGAATGAACATGTTTGTAATGTTTATTCAAAATAAATCTGCTTCTTCTGTAACAAGTTTAAAAGAAAATATTATCAGTAAAAACTAGAGATTGACCGATACAGGTTTTTTTGGCCAATTCCARTACCGATTATTTTGACATCTGTCTAACTGATGCGCAGATACGTGCAGCCAATTTTTTTTTTTTTTTTGGGCCGATTCTTGAAGCCAGTACTGCTTTTTCTTCCTCCATTAACATGATAAAAATAAGAATAACAAATGTTACACAAGTCTCAATTTAAACAAAAAAGAAACATTTATTAACTGAGCCTTGTCTGTTTGTAGGCTGAGTGAAGTGCTGCCACACAGAATTTCTTTTTTCAGCCATGTCTTAAAAGAAAAAAAAACTAAACATTTATTTTATCTAGTGCTACATATTTTGTTTTCATTAGTATATTAATCAAATTGGTATCTTTGTATTACATAAAATAAAATGTTTTAATATCCCAGCATTTTATGCAAAAACAGCAACATGCCTAAAGAAAACTGTCAGAGGAACACAAAGAAAAGGAGAGGGACGCACACACAAACATCTTGCTATCTTTGTGAGGACTTCACACACAGCTCTGCTTCAGCCTGCGCCCTTTTTTTTACACTGGGCAAAAACTGCWTTTAAACCAGCTGACGYTAACAACAAGCTTTAGATCACAGTTTGAAATGTATGACGAAAAACCTGCATCACGACTTTTATACTGCGGTCAGACCAAACGTGATATGAGCGGCGTCTGCCTGGTTTATATGTTTATGGTAGACGGCAGCTCAATACATGCGCTCGCGTAATAAGTAAGTAAGTAAACTTTATTTCTATAGCACCTTTCACAGACAAACATCACAAAGTGCTTCACAGAAAGCAAAAATAATTACAAACAATAAAACAGATAACAAGTAAAACACAATAAAAAGCACTTAACTAAAAGCCTGTCTGAATAAAAATGTCTAAAGATGTTTCTTAAAAGAGTCAGTAGAATCTGAGCAACGAAGGGACAGAGGGAGAGCGTTCCAGAGCCTCGGGGCCACCACCTGAAAAGCTTTGTCTCCACGGGTTTTATAATGGGTTCGAGGGACCACCGGCAGCATTTGATCAGAAGACCTCAAAGTCCTGGATGGACAGAGAGGCTTCAGAAGGTCCAGTATGTATTTGGGGGCCTGACCATGAAGTGCTCTGAAAGTTAAAACTAAAAGTTTAAAATGACTCCTCAAAGTCACAGGGAGCCAGTGCAGAGAGGCTAAAACAGGTGTAATGTGGGCTCTCCTGTGTGTCTTTGTTAATAACCTCGCTGCAGCGTTCACAGACTGAAGCCGAGTCAAGGAGGATTTGTTTAGACATGTAAAAAGACTGTTGCAGTAATTTAAACGAGAAGAAATAAAAGCRTGAACAACCATCTCTAGTTCCTTCTGTGACACAAAAGATCTCAGCTTTGAAATGTTCCTTAAATGATAAAAACAGTTACGAACAAAAATTTTACAATGGCCGTCAAAAGACATATAACTATCAAAGACAACACCCAGATTCCTGAGACTATTTTTCACTGAAGGAGTTAAAAAATCAAGGTACTGCCTGATTACAGGGATTTTATCATCAGGGGCAATAATAAGAGTTTCAGTCTTGTTTGCATTTAACTGCAGGTAGTTGTTGTTCAGCCATATTTTGACTTCTGACAGTAACTGAGGTCAGATAGTTTGAAGAACTCAGAGGGTCGAAAGGAACAGAACAACTGTATGTCATCAGCATACAGATGGTAGGACACATTACTGTAACATTTTAAAATACCTCCTAAAGGGTACCGGTACATTAAAAAGAGGATTGGACCCAAAACTGAACCTTGGGGTACCCCACAAGACAGCAGTGCAACATCAGAGTAAACCTGATTCATAAAAACAGTAAAAGACCGTTCAGATAAATAAGAGGTGAACCAGTTTAAAACCGAGCCAGAAATACCAAAATTATCTCTGTCTGTAGATAAGAGTGATCCACAGTGTCAAACGCTGAAGTTAAGTCCAATAAAACCAGCACAGTGTAATCAAAAGAACATATCGGCCAAATGCATGAACTTATCGGCCGATACAAGGAAAAAATGCAAATATCTGCCAAAAATATTGGCCGGGCCAATGTATCAGTCGACCCCTAGTAAAAACCTCAAATCAAACCCTTTCTAATAATCATTAGAACTCTAGAAGAACTCTAACTCTCGTAGCTATAAAAGACAACAGTTAAAAACATGCAACTGTCAAAAAACTTCCTCTCAGTCACTGAAAATAATTTATTTACCACATTTTAAATCTGGGCTCAGCTCGGTGTGTGAGTCCAGCATGACTTGTAGACCAGCAGCTCATTCTGCCTGGACTTACGGTGTTTTGAGTTCACACAGGACTCTGGGTACTTTTTTAAAAAGTTGAGGTACATTACATTAGCTCGTTGCTGCGCTGCTGAACGCCATCGACCCGCAGACACGCAGTCGCACGCGGGGTCCGTGTTGGTGATCCCTGCTGTAAAATATAAAATTAACCATGCTGTGGCTTCACCTGTCGTATCCCACACCAGGAACTTTGCCAATCAAGGTTATGAAAAACTCCGCCCACAACAAAGTAATCTGCCAATCACAGTTAGGACAAACTCCGCCCACAAACCAGGAAACTCTCCGTACATACTGCAGGGACCCCTACTTGGGATGCCAGGCTTGTACATTATTTCCACTCCAAAGCTTTCACAGTGAGCCAAATGTTTTGTATTATAGTGAAACAGTGATTCCGTGCATTTAATGATCACTTTTGACTTGGACTAACGGGTTCCTATGACATAATGTCTGCACTGCTCATTAGACCTTATATACTGAATTAAAAAAGCCAGAAACCAACAGTGATTTTACACAGTCCCTTGAAACCAAATAACGTCCTCTGTGTTCCAAGCAGCTGTTTGTGAATAAAAGTTAGTCTTTTGGAACAACCAGTGGATTTTCTCTTTTTCCTTCAAGTGTCCATCATGATTTTCCTGCTTTCTACAACAATTTGCCCAGTTGACAAAAAAAAATTTATACCAGACGTCTGGCAGCTGCTTGCTTTTACGGATTTCCAGTTCTTAGAGATGAAAGTTGTGGAGCATATTATGATGTGCATGCTCTTTATGTAAACTCTGTGTATTTACAGTGCAGTGAAAGTTTACAGGCTAACCTGGGCTTAAGGGTATTTGGACACAAAGGGACTTTGTTCAGGAGTATCTCTACATGAATTTCTCTGTCTGTGATCATCTTTTCTTTAATTATTTTTTTGCAGGTCACTTCTTATAGTGATTGCTTCCAGACTTTTAAGCCCCTATTACCGTCCGTCTTTATTCTGTCTTGCAAAGACGTAGGAGCACTCAGAGTCTGAAGAGAGGAATGGCTTTAACATGTGAGGCATTTCTGTGACTGACTGGCAGTAAAGCAGCTAGAACCCCTCCTCACTTCGCCTCGCCTCAGACTGCTCTGGCGTCTAACATTTGCCGTGGGAGGGTGTGCTGCCCTGGATCCTGTTTGAGTAACGACTAGCTCCTGTCAGACACTTCTAGGACTCTTTTGGTTGACAGGAGCAGCAGCACAGCATGGTCTGGCCTTGGTCACAGTAGACCCCAGCCTCGCCTGGACTCTCAGGTTCCTCCAGCCAACATAAACACCACCGTCTGTCTGCCAACTGAAGTAAAAACACAGATTAAAGTGGTGGAAGTGGGATTTCTACAGGCTAAAGTGTGGGAAAACAACAGAGTACTGTCTCTTTATGGTTACAGCCTGGCTTCCATCATTTTGATTCAGCTAATTTCACGCTCGGGCTTAGATCTGTCGGAGACATGTGAAAGTTTTCCTTCAGTTTGGTATTATTTTGTTTAAGAAGCTAACTCCAATCTTCATTCTTGGTCCTGGCACTGATCTCATGAGCAGCTGTTAGTGCTGTCAGTGTTTTTACTCGCGCTCAACTTTCTGTCCAGATTGGAGCCGTTTGACCCCAGCTGATTTCACATGGATGAACACACCCCGAGTAATCACGCGCAGCATTTTTTTTAAACGAGGCAGTCGTTGCTGGTTCTTGTTCTGTTTAGAGACAGTCCGTCAATCTTTTTTACTCCGTATGATTTTTTTTTTAAAACTCTTAAAAATGATTTATAATACCTGTATCAGTGTTACAGCATCAAAACAAGCCCTGCCTGTGCTGTAATAAAGAACAGCTTGTAGCACTAGAAGACACCAAATATGTTAAATCTCAGCACGCTGAAGGTCACATATGTTTAGTGTAACACTTTGGGGGCGACTTTTGTTTTTTGGAGACTTTCAGCTGGAGTTCATTCTGTAATGGGATGTGATTACTTTTAATCTGGCTGACTCGCAGGCTTCGTAAAGTGTGTTTCCAGTACAATATTTGGGAGGTTGCGTGTGTGTGCAAGGTATTTACTGGTGTACTGTTTATTTAGCCGCTGCTTGTGTGTTTGTCCCTCTTGAACCTGCTTCTTTATTTGGTGTTGTTTGTATGCCATGTGAGTGTGTAATGGTGTAGGACCGTGAGGGTAACATCCAGATGTTGGCATTTTTAAATATTTGTATCTCCACATCTGAAATCCCCTGTTTTCTCCCTTAAAAGGATCTTTTAAGTATGACAAACTAGATTAATTATCTTTTCCTGTGGGAAAACAAAGRTCTTCTGAATTCAACACCTGTCTTTTTAAAAAATCGGATTTAGATTGTGTTTCTAAAGCTGTATCAGCTGTGGATAAACAGCTCAACTGGAGTCAGAATATGTTTTTGTTGTTACATGCTCTCTCTGCTGGCAGGAATCTAAAATTGCCTGTGCAATATTTAACCACTGTGGTTTGAATCTCTCTCTCTTTTTTTTTCTTTTCCCAGGACTATTTGGCACACATTATCGATGCGGGTGACCTTCCTATCCAGCCTGAGCAAGTGTGCGCCTTATTTGGGAACATAGAGGACATCTATGAGTTCAACAGGTAAATCATTAAATCAAATATTGATGAGTATATTTACTGTTTCCAGTATCTTCTAAGACTGAGGCGTTTTTGTGCTGTAAGCAATGTTTTTAGTTCACTTTGATGTGTCAGTAGTATGAAATGTTGCTTATTGTGAAATTAAAACATGGACGATGCCTGGCTGCTCTTATCTAACTTGCATTTTTGTTGAGTGACTCAAGGTTGATGCAGAGAGATAAAAGTGGTTGACAATCACCACAGGAAAGTGTTGCAGATGATCTAAAAGGCGTAGAAAGTGTTGGGGCAGCTGGTTTTGCATTTCATCATCGTATGTCAGCAAGCGCCTGTTGCTAAACGTGCAGGTTGCCAAAATACACACTGATGTTCTCGCCTCTTCTCACATTAAGCAGCCACTCTTGTAATGTGGAGCTTATCAGATAGCCCTGAGGCTCAAATCGAAAAGATTTTATCTATTTCTTAATGACATTTTGCAAAGTACGCAAGTTTGAGAAAGTAAATTGACATCTTATTGAATTAAAAGATCCAAAGACTGTCATTTTCCTGGAAGGAATCTTTTTTATTATTATTATTTTTGCTTGTTTCTATGAGGAAATGCTTATATCAGCAGGTAAAAACACTCAGTGTTTGCTTATGATTGCAACAGAGTTTTTGTAAAGGAGGCCACCCAAAGGAATTTATGTATATATCAGTCCTATGTACAGACAAGTACCATGTAGAGTACAGGCTGTTCTTTTACTTAAACTGCTTTAATTCATTTACATGCTTTAAATAATCACTTGCTTCATAATATCGACAATTCAACAGTTTGAGTTTTATGAATTAAAACTTTAATGCTTCCATCCTAGAATTGCTTTTCTTTACTGCATTTTCTTCTCCCACAGCTGTAAATAAGGCTGATAATGAATCTCAACACCAGATGAATAAATGTCAACACGTTTGTTTATAGYTTGTTTCAGTCGAGCCTGACTGGCCTTAGTTTGAAAAGATCTTTTGTTGTTGTTGTTTTTGTTTGGCTTTCAGAGGTTTTAGTTTGATCGATTTTGAATAAAGCTTGTTTTTAAAGTTAAACTGTGACAATTTCCTAAACTTATTTTATGACAAGAGCAAAAGCTGTTGTTTTACAGGTGTGTGGTGCCCTCTGCTGGTGATTTTACTAAAAGCAATTAAAAACCTCATAGTCCCATAGAAAAATGATTAGTGTAGATTTATTTTGGGGTTATTACTAATCCTTGCTACCTTATTTTTTTCCTGGTCTGATGTATTACTGTTAAACCTTTACGTTTTTGTTTAATTTTAGTGARCTGCTGCAGTGTTTGGACATGTGTGAGAACGACCCTGTGGCTATCGCTCAGTGTTTTGTAAATAAAGTGAGTAAAACTACCAATATGTACTTCATCCAAGCTATATAAGTTTGTCAAAACTGCTCACTAATGATGCCCGGTTGGTTTTTCCCTCAGAGTGAATACTTTGAAATCTACACCCAGTATTGCAATAACTATCCTAAGTAAGTTGCTCTGCAAACGTTCTTATTTTGTTAGCAATGTTGTCAGCATGTGTGTGTGATGTTCGATTTGTTGTTTGCAGCTCGGTTGCATCCCTGACCGACTGCATGAGGAGTAAAACTTTGGCCAAGTTCTTCAGGGATCGTCAGGCTGCACTGAAACGTTCTCTTCCTTTGGGCTCCTACCTGCTAAAGCCGGTTCAGAGAATCCTGAAATATCACCTGCTCCTTCAGGTACAGAGCTCCAAAAACAATCTTTCCTGGTTTTTATGTCTCCTGGACCATAACAAACTAGTGTCATTTTAAATAACTTGTCACTTGYTGTTTGTTGCTCATAAAAGACAAGTAGTGCACATATAGACTGATTCTGTTTGGCTAAATTAGTTAATAATGATCTTGTTAATTGTCCACATCTCCTTTTAAAGGAAATTGCAAAGCACTATGACCCGGATGAGGAGGGATGTGAGGTTGTTCAGGAGGCTATAGACACCATGACAGGAGTGGCCTGGTACATCAACGACATGAAGAGGAAACATGAGCACGCCGTCAGAGTGCAGGTCCTATAAAACAGCAAAACACACAAAACAAACAAATTTATGTCATTTTTTTATAGTGTGGCAACACATGAGCAAGTCTGTGCTCATTTGTACAGGGTTGTTAAACTAAACAATACAAACAAGTCAAAAGATGAGGAGTTATGTTGTGTACTTTTTATTTTTTATCTTTTGTTTTGATATTTTTGCTCAAGAAAAGTCCACTATTGCTCTCAAGTAAAAACAAAAATCTCCCGTTTTTTGAGCCTTCTAACAATTTCTTTGTTTAATCTCAAATCTTCCTATTGCCTGGTTACTTTCCTGGTTTTCTTTMTAGAAAAAGGTGTATTGGTGTCTAATGCCTGTGTTCTGTAGTATTAATGATGGTTGCACTAAGAAAACATGGCTGAAAGTGTTTATTGGTGCTTTCACACAGGAGATTCAGTCTCTTCTGATCAACTGGAAGGGTTGTGACCTGACCACCTTTGGAGAGCTGGTTCTGGAGGGCACCTTTCATGTGCTGAGGGCGAAAAACACCCGCACACTTTTTCTCTTCGAAAAAATGCTGCTTATTACCAAGAAACGAGGGGAAAGCTATGTCTACAAGAATCACATATTGGTAGGATTATTCAGTGTGACGAGTAGTTTTAAGATCAATACGTTGCTGTCGGATCAACAGACGACACTATTCATTACCTCTCTCATTGCAGTGTTCCACCTTGATGCTGCTGGACAATGCCAAGGATCCTCTGCTCTTCAGTGTTATCCATTTCAAACGACCCAAACAGCCACATACAGTGCAGGTAACTGCAGCCTGGCTTTTATGTGCTGCAGCACGGTGCAGTTTGATCATATTTAAGTCATATTACTGCCTTACAGGGAACTCAAAAAGCCTGAGGTAAAAAAATAATAATAAATTGTTAGACTTTTTAGAAACTGTAGCATGATAAGGGAGGAATTCAAGATTTCACAACATTTCAAAATCAACAAATACTGTTAATTTGTTAAAGATGTGTTATTTTGAGCAAAGCGGCATTCTCTCCGCATCAGATCATGGATAAAAGAAACTCAGAATGATTCACGATGCACTCTGTCAAACCTTTGTCACTTCAGCTGCTAAATTCAGATCTCTATTTTACAAATTAAAAGAGAACAGATTATCAAAAAATCATATTTTTCCTCATTATGAAATAAATTTCATTAGGAAGCTCAATTTTCTTAACGAATAACTTAAGGTTTAAGGTTGAAGCTGCTATCTGTAGTTTCTGAGGACAGCTGAAGATGAGTCCTGATCATTTAGTTCAGCTTTATTCAACTGGCGGCCTGCGGGCCACGCCCCCCAATTTATTTTTACTTAATTTAATATAAAAAATGATTTCAAATAATTTGTAAATTTAAAAAAAAAATGATGTTTCAGTGCTGCAAGATCAATTTAAAAGGTAAACGATAATAATACTAGTTGTGTTGCATGCTGCAGTGTTAAATCTACCATTAATGGGCAACACCCCCCTCCTCCTCCCCCCATCCTCTTCGGATGTCCGGCCCTCCAGGCTCAGTAACCGTGGACCCCGGAGCAATTTAGATGAATAGCCCTGATTTAGTTGGATGACGAGGTGGAAAAAAATCTTGATTATTAAATAATTCCACAGATTTATATCACTGACTGCTTATGAAAGGGCAAACGAGGCCCAGAGGGCATCAAACACAGTGAAACAGTGATTTAGAGTTGATGTGTGTACTGAATTTAATGTTTTCTTTTACTAAAGTGAGTTACAGGCATGCACCGACCTCTCATTTTAATTTTTTTAAGACATTTAATCAGGCTACACACATGTTAAAGACTTCAAAACTTAAAAAAAGTAAAAGAAGATCCGGTGTACGTTATAGACAGATATTAATATACATTAAAACTGAGCTTTTAGTGTGAAATTAGCTTTTTAATCACTTTGACATTAGATTCAATAAAAACACACAACAGGAATGTTGTCACATGTGGTCTCAGACCGTTAGCCTTATATGAATGTTTATATTCTCACAGRATGTCAACGTTGTTTTCTTTTTCTAAAGCTGCTAAGAACCAGTGTTTTATTTTCCTCTGAATATGTTATTAATGCAAGTTTTTCAGTGGTAAWTACTGAGAACTGCCTCTTTTTCTCAGGCAAAGTCAGTGGAAGAGAAGCGCCTCTGGTCCCATCACATTAAGAGGCTCATTCTCGAGAATCACAACACAATTTTACCACAGAAGGTAAAAATCATTCTTTACGAATCATTTCTGGGATTTATTTTGGCCTCTGAAGACGAATCTTTAATTTAAACGCGTTTCTTTCTTTGAAGGCAAAGGACGCCGCTGTGGACAATTTGAACTGTAAGTGTTACTAATGGAGCATCTCTAGCTGTGCCAGGACCGATTTAACTGTTGCCACAGCAACCGCTGATGCTGCTAATAAAAGCAAATGGCTGCTGATGTTCTGTGGAGGCTTTGGAATGCCGGTTAATTTGTCAGGATGCATCAGTTTATGTCCCATGTGGAGAAAATGGTTTCTAAGAGTGAAGGACRTGTCTCTCCACTGCTCAGATGCGGGGAAGTTCCAGTACAGTCCTGAGAGGACGATGAAAGCAGAGTGCTGCCAAAGTGACAGCTTCCATCTTGGAGGACGAAACAGGAGGAGGAGATCTGGTAAAATCACCCCGTTCGTTTGCCAGCACTTCACACAGCGACAACTTCAGAAACATCTGAGAATAAACCAACTTATCAGGTTTTATTTCTCTTTTTACAGAACCTGTAAAACAAATCATAAAGAGCACAGAAGGTTGGTACATTGTGAGGTTGTTGCTGAATGTTCAGTGTGAGTTTGGTTGACAGAGCAGCAAATTAATTACTGGTGCTTTAGTTTGATCCACATCCTGGCTGCTGTCCTGTTGTACATCAMCTCCCAGTCACCACTGTTATGTTGCTGCTGGAGAGGAGCTTTTCATGCATCCATTGAACCTCCACTTTGTTCCTCTTCAAAGCCACCTGGAAAACAGATCAATGAACGCACACGTTCTCTCCCCTCTCCACCTCGCCCATAATGAAGTTAATCATATGCCACTTTAGTCCAAGGCTTTGTCATGCACGAGCCCTTTGTGCTGGTCAAATTCATCCTTTCCTGGGATCTGTGCGTCTTCCTGTTTCATCCATTACAAGAGGAAAAGCCTCTGCGCTCGTGTTCTCCCTCGCTCCCCGTCCAGAACCCATTTCCCAGACAATGTAATGAAGAAGCCATTYCATGTCGAACCTTCTCATCTGGGTAAGGGAGAGGTTCATCACTTCCTGGCTAATTGCATCATGTGCAGTTTAAGCCTCTGAGAACGAGATGCTTCTTATGGGTATTTACCTAATCACAGGGCCTCCCTTCAGTTTGAGGCAGACTCAAATCTGCCCGTTTGTCGAGGCAGTAATTTAACAAAATATACTGGATATTCAGGTTATTGTTGGACATAATTTTTTGAYGTGGGCATGGTTTCTTTCAGTGTTATTGACATTTTTATTTGTTTTGTCTCTCTGCCTCTTCCTGTCTTTGCTCAACATGCAGCTGTTTTGAAGGTAAGGAAATACAAACTGGTCTTTTATTGAGCTTTAATAAGCTTTTGCAGTCACTGGGCTGTGGTGAGATACGGTTTACTCAGTTTTGAGTCATTTAAAGGGACAGTTCAGGTCTTTTGTTGTGGCAACTAACTGGAAATATCCTGAACAAGGATTATATTACTTGTTGTRGATGGGTAGCTCTTGGAATGACTTCAGTTTGGAGAAACAGAGTTTAATTCTGACCTGACTGATGAGGTAGCGCCTCAGTCAACTAGAGAATTGCATTTCCTGCGAAAATGCTAGTGTGAGTGCTTCTGAAAACTTGAGCTGAAAGCTGCTGATAATGAGCTTGACAATGTTTAATAGCAACAGTGTTAATGCAAGTTCAATTTGCATAGCTGAAAGAAACAAAAAAGCCTAACTTTGCAGAAAAACAGTAAAAAGGAGCAAAAAATATAGTTGAAATAGCAGAAAACACCTAAAAGCTAAAATAGCTGAATGTAGCAGAAAAAAATGTAAAAAGCATAAATAGCACAAATAACAGAAAAAAGCACAGAAAAGCAGAAGAATGGCAGAAAGAGGCAGATATAAAGCTAAAATAGCATAAAAAGCTAAAGTTGGCATAAAAATAAGCTAAAGTTAGCAGCTACAAGTTGTAATTAACACCCAGAATGTGAAAGTTTTGTAAATAATTTTAAATTAGCAGAAAAAATGCATAAAATTACAAAAAGTGACAATTTGTAGGACAATGGCTAACTAAAACAGCTGAAATTGTCAGCAAAACAGCTAAAATGTAGCTCGAAATGCTTTAATTAGCATAAGGAGCCAATGTTTCCTGAAATTAGCTAAATAAGTTAATAGCTTTAAAAAATGTGTATTTAGCTTAAAAAGATAACTTTAGCTTATAACAGCAGAACATTAGCTAAATTTGCAGCAAATAGCTGATWATAGCTGAAAACATCTGTAAGAAGCATAAATAGTAGCAAAAAATTACAAAAAACTTTTGAAAAAAAAAAGCAGAAGAATAGCAAAAAAGGCAAAATTTTAGCTGAAATAACATAAAAAAGCTAAAATAAGCAAAAAAGTTTGCTAAATTAGCACAAGAAAGTGAAACAGAACAGAATCAGAACAAAATGTGTAAGGTGCTGGAAAGATTTAGAAACATTTTAAATGATTTATACGATGTTGAAAACAGCTACATTAATTTTCAGGGGCATAAAAGTGGCTAAAAAAGTGAAATAGCTGAAAAAGCATATATGGCCAAATTATCAAAAATCATAGCACCCTTTGCATAAATGAGCTGAACATTTTGATATACAGTATGAATTTTTGAAATGGCACAAAAGTTGTGGAACAAGTTAATGTCGAAAAACGTACAGAAGACAAAATTATCTCAATAGTGGTTTTACCTGTGTGACACAGGTAAAACCAAGACAGACTCCACTGTTCAATGTTTATTTGCACTTCACTTAAATGCAACTTTACAGGGTTATTTTAGGAGGAATATTATGATATTCTCCAAAGTGTTACAGCTAGCTGATAGTCCTGCTTTAGGCGCTTTGCAAACGACCATAAAGTTCTGTAAAGAACCACAGGGTGCAAAACTGACTGTGAATGTTTATAAAATTAGGTTTGCAAGGACTAATAAGTTGTTGAGGTTAGAGTTGTTCTGAGATTGCAGATGTCYACTTAGTCTCGCAGAATAATTCATCAGTCAGCTCTGAAATAAACTGTTTCAACAAACTGAGGTTGTTCAAAGAGCCATCTACAACAGGTAAGATAATTGTTTATAAACTTTCCACAGAACATATCTGAAGGCTCGATTTATTAAAATATCTAAAACAAGAAGTTCARTCATTGCAGGGCAAACTTTAGGTTTTCTGATCTTGCAGTAAATCTTATCTCACCCAGAGCTGCAGCTGCTGACACACACAGTGCTTCAGTCACTACATGTCTTTAACACGAGCCCTGCAATAACACATCACATGTCTGTGACTTCATGCTACAGCATGCAGACAGTGAGGGTGCCCTGCTGGGAGACAGGTGCTCCCTCCAGCCAGCCACCAGTGTAAGTACACTGGCCTCCAGTCTAGGCGATCCCGAGAGTGAGAGGCTGTGTGTGGAGGACTTTATTCCCAGGGGCGACTCTCTGGAGCAGCTGAATTCAGCTGAAAGTGACCCTAAACTGCCCTCTTCACCCAGTGAGGTGGGATTGGAGCAGGAGGGGGAGAGTTGCAAGGAAGATGTACTGATGGAAGGCGACCAGGTAGCTGACTTTGCCAGCTCAGTGCTAGCAGCCATCTCCTGCTGGCACTATAGAGCCAGGGCTTTGCTTCCTGCTCATTTCACAACGGTGAGGGTTTCTGACACACGCTTTCCCATTTCCTGCTCCCTTCTTCTGGCTCACCAACACTGATGCACCCTTATTTCTCCCACACTGACACTCATTCTTCCCCACCTTTTTTTTCCTCTGTCTTACCTTTAATCTTAACAGCTGCTGCCATTTCTGCATGAATTAATTCTGCTGAAGTGCACGACCGTTTTAACTGAAAACTCCTGCACGTACTGGGTTAGAGTACTTCTGAGTTCTGGTTGTCACATTTTGTATTCATATTTCTTTTGGGTTGTTGCTCTTTGCTGCAGTTATTAATTGTGCTTTTGGAACATGATAGATGTTGAAGCTTACGCTGCTGGGACCACGCCTGCATTTGCATGAGAACCAGTGGCTCTGTTTTAAATGTTGTTTGATTTCAAAGGTTAATGTAGTCTTCTAATTAAATATCATTAGAAAAGCAGGAGCTTTTTACTCTTTGATAATCATATTACAGAACATTTCCCCTCTGAATTTTCATGTCTTTGTCAGTGTTAATTGTTTTTAGCAGTAGGTGAATGAATAAACATTGTTTAACAAGGAAGACTTTTATGTTTAGCTTGTATTTTTGAAGAGGCTTGAATACAAATTGAATATTTATTTAATGTGAGTTTTACGGTTAATCTGTAATATGTTAACTATAAATGCTTCAGTTTAATGTCATGTTTTATTTGTTTAGGATAATGAGAAAAGCAGCAGTTCTGAGTTAAAAACTGCACCAGAGGAGGTGAAAACCTGCCGACAGGAGGAAGACAAAAGGGACGTTGTTATGAAAGACACTCTCTGCACACAGGTATTATTTTTAATGCCTGATATATTGTTCATTCATTCACGTTATTAACAAGCACCCTTCTACCCTCACAATTACCAAGCCTATTTTGAAACTGCTGTAGAATTTAAGGGAAACTCTTTCACTTTTTTTCCTATTATCTCCTAATATNATATATGGCCAAATTATCAAAAATCATAGCACCCTTTGCATAAATGAGCTGAACATTTTGATATACAGTATGAATTTTTGAAATGGCACAAAAGTTGTGGAACAAGTTAATGTCGAAAAACGTACAGAAGACAAAATTATCTCAATAGTGGTTTTACCTGTGTGACACAGGTAAAACCAAGACAGACTCCACTGTTCAATGTTTATTTGCACTTCACTTAAATGCAACTTTACAGGGTTATTTTAGGAGGAATATTATGATATTCTCCAAAGTGTTACAGCTAGCTGATAGTCCTGCTTTAGGCGCTTTGCAAACGACCATAAAGTTCTGTAAAGAACCACAGGGTGCAAAACTGACTGTGAATGTTTATAAAATTAGGTTTGCAAGGACTAATAAGTTGTTGAGGTTAGAGTTGTTCTGAGATTGCAGATGTCTACTTAGTCTCGCAGAATAATTCATCAGTCAGCTCTGAAATAAACTGTTTCAACAAACTGAGGTTGTTCAAAGAGCCATCTACAACAGGTAAGATAATTGTTTATAAAACTTTCCACAGAACAAATCTGAAGGCTCGATTTATTAAAATATCTAAAACAAGAAGTTCAATCATTGCAGGGCAAACTTTAGGTTTTCTGATCTTGCAGTAAATCTTATCTCACCCAGAGCTGCAGCTGCTGACACACACAGTGCTTCAGTCACTACATGTCTTTAACACGAGCCCTGCAATAACACATCACATGTCTGTGACTTCATGCTACAGCATGCAGACAGTGAGGGTGCCCTGCTGGGAGACAGGTGCTCCCTCCAGCCAGCCACCAGTGTAAGTACACTGGCCTCCAGTCTAGGCGATCCCGAGAGTGAGAGGCTGTGTGTGGAGGACTTTATTCCCAGGGGCGACTCTCTGGAGCAGCTGAATTCAGCTGAAAGTGACCCTAAACTGCCCTCTTCACCCAGTGAGGTGGGATTGGAGCAGGAGGGGGAGAGTTGCAAGGAAGATGTACTGATGGAAGGCGACCAGGTAGCTGACTTTGCCAGCTCAGTGCTAGCAGCCATCTCCTGCTGGCACTATAGAGCCAGGGCTTTGCTTCCTGCTCATTTCACAACGGTGAGGGTTTCTGACACACGCTTTCCCATTTCCTGCTCCCTTCTTCTGGCTCACCAACACTGATGCACCCTTATTTCTCCCACACTGACACTCATTCTTCCCCACCTTTTTTTTCCTCTGTCTTACCTTTAATCTTAACAGCTGCTGCCATTTCTGCATGAATTAATTCTGCTGAAGTGCACGACCGTTTTAACTGAAAACTCCTGCACGTACTGGGTTAGAGTACTTCTGAGTTCTGGTTGTCACATTTTGTATTCATATTTCTTTTGGGTTGTTGCTCTTTGCTGCAGTTATTAATTGTGCTTTTGGAACATGATAGATGTTGAAGCTTACGCTGCTGGGACCACGCCTGCATTTGCATGAGAACCAGTGGCTCTGTTTTAAATGTTGTTTGATTTCAAAGGTTAATGTAGTCTTCTAATTAAATATCATTAGAAAAGCAGGAGCTTTTTACTCTTTGATAATCATATTACAGAACATTTCCCCTCTGAATTTTCATGTCTTTGTCAGTGTTAATTGTTTTTAGCAGTAGGTGAATGAATAAACATTGTTTAACAAGGAAGACTTTTATGTTTAGCTTGTATTTTTGAAGAGGCTTGAATACAAATTGAATATTTATTTAATGTGAGTTTTACGGTTAATCTGTAATATGTTAACTATAAATGCTTCAGTTTAATGTCATGTTTTATTTGTTTAGGATAATGAGAAAAGCAGCAGTTCTGAGTTAAAAACTGCACCAGAGGAGGTGAAAACCTGCCGACAGGAGGAAGACAAAAGGGACGTTGTTATGAAAGACACTCTCTGCACACAGGTATTATTTTTAATGCCTGATATATTGTTCATTCATTCACGTTATTAACAAGCACCCTTCTACCCTCACAATTACCAARCCTATTTTGAAACTGCTGTAGAATTTAAGGGAAACTCTTTCACTTTTTTTCCTATTATCTCCTAATATGAGAGCCACCTGTATGGGTTAAAAGTTGTGCCAGCAGGAATTGAATTTGAATTGCTCAGATTGAATCTGTATGTGCATAATTTGAAATTGAATGCGTTGGCTTGAAAATGAATTTGACAAAATTGAAACTAAATTAAAAAGTTTTGTATCTGAATTAATTTGCTTTGAAACTGTATTTTGGTTTATTAAAAATTCAGTTTGACTACTTTCACTTTCAGTTCCAAAATTCAGATTTTTGTGTCGCACATCCTGGTCCTTGAGAAAGCCAGGCAGAGTAATCAAACACAGATCCACGGATTTACTTTTCACTTCAGTGAAGCTTCCCTTCTGTGTGTAATGGAGTTGATGCAATCCACTGTAAAAGTGACAAAAACAGAGCAAGTTATTTTATTTCAGTGATTTATTTTACCTATATGTATGTAGAAAATGTAGCATTTACATCACATCACATATTGATCAGATGCTGCTGCTGACTGATTCATGATGTGATGTAAATGTAATACTTTCTGTAGGTAAAGTTAATCAGTTTCAAACCATTAAATTCAGTTTCAGTTTAGTGAAATTCATTTTCAAACCAATGCATCAATTTAAAATTATGCACATTCAGATTCAATTCCTGCTGGTACAAGATTTATCCCATACACCAGAATCAAATCTATATTAGATTTTAAAAGTTGGGTTCCAACCAAATAGATGCCTTTTATTGTGATCACGTTGGTCTGAATCCTGCCTGCATCTTGTACTGGTAGTATCAGGTAGTATCTTGTAAAATTAAAGCACCTTCTGTGTATTGTGCAGTAATCAGCACTCCTGCTTCTGAGAAAGGCAGCATTTGATTCAGAGACCAGCTCCTGCATCGATGCTGAGCAGGTTTTGCTGTTCCTGACCTTATCTACACCGAACAGCTCCAAGGTGCACTGTGTGCCATGTGCAGACAGTCCAGACCAGCAGGCAACACCTCGACATAAATTTAGATTAACGGCGAGGCCGGGTGACGGCAGCAAGATGAATGCTTGTAAAGGAGCACCTGAACTCACCAAGGAATTTATGGATCAGTAAAAACAGACTGGAAATGGCGTCCCTGTTTTTTTTTTTCAGCCTATTTGTTAGACAGGCAAGGGTCACTGTAATAAAATAAAACAAATGCAGCATAAATTGTGGACTCTTCAGCCTGAACTGCCAAGATTACTTCAAAAAGGACCATTTAGCTTACTTAGCTAATAAAACGTGTCTTTTCTCTTCATGTTCCACTTTACAATTACTCTCTTGTTCCAGGTCAGTGTGCAGGAGCTGAGCCATCCAGACTGCCTCCCACAAGAAGACAAGAGTCACCAGCTGGAGGTGTATTACTCCCAAAGTCCCCAGTTTCCAACAGGCRCCTCCAAACAAGAAACTGAACCACCAGACTCTCTAGATACCTCCAGAGAAACTGGAGAGGAGGAGGGAGGGAGCGATTCCTCTGGCCTCCAAGTCGAGGAGACGAGTGCTCTGACGAACAGCGAGCTCTCAGAGGAGGAGGAAGTGGTGCTTTCCAGTAAAAATAAAAGCATCTTGCCGCCTTCTGTGTTGGACCAGGCGAGCGTGATTGCCGAGCACTTCATGGACCGCCTGTCCCGACGGTGCAGCTACGTTTCTGAGGACCGCGGTTCCCTCGTCAGCCCTTCACCACCAGTAGATAACGACGTCTTTCAGATCCCCTCGGCCTGCACGGGTTTGGAGGAGGAGACGATGGCCGCCTCTCTGTCTGAGCCGCAGGGACGCCCGGAGAACAATCTGTCAGCCGACCTGGGCGAAGGAGAACCCAGGTCCACGCTCTCTAAAAAAGACCGCCTCCTCATCCACAAAATCAGACGGTACTACGAGCACGCCGAGCACCAAGACGCCGACTTCAGCGTCAAGCGTCGCGAAAGCCTGTCCTACATTCCAGCCGGCTTGGTGAGACAGCTGAGCCGGCAGCTGAACAGCGTTCCCCCGGAGAACCCGGTCCACAGGAAAGAGCTCTCTCGAAACAGACCCACTTCCTGGTCCGTGTTCGACCTGCCCGGCTTGGAAAAAAACAAAACGACCGCTTCGTTCCAAACCGAGGCCGGCGCTGCGGACGCCTGCGCAGCGGAAGAAAAGTTCCGTCCCTCGTCCGACATGCTGAAGGTTTGGGAGGTTATGGAAGCTGAAGAGGAGGACGTCAGGCMGGCTGCAGGAGACAAACTTAGTGATTCCAGATTAGCAGTTACTCAGAATCGGCAACCGCCTCTTTTAGAAGAGTCTGAGGTGAGCCYCGCCTCCGACGTGTCCTCAACGAACACGAGTTCCTCCGCAGTGGAGGGAGGATCCGATCAGGACTCTAAACCGTGCAGGACCCGTGAGTTAGAGGACGACAATCATTTCAGCCCAAACCGCCTGCCCAAGATCATTAAGTTCAGAACCAGCGTAGATGAAGGGAAGGTGAAAAACAAGGTGTTCCAGCTGGCCCGTCAGTACAGCCAGCGCATCAGAAACAACAGGCCTCTGGTCCGGCAGAGGACCCGACTACCAGCCAGTCTGGACGGCCTCAGGAGTGTCCCTGCTGTCCACCAGGAGATGAGAAAAAAAGGTAAATATGGTTCAAAAGATCCAAAGATCTGTTTATAAATGAAAATAAATCTGTTAATCTGTCTGTGTGCAGGTAAACCCAACCTGAGATTACCTTTGCCTGCGTGTGAACACGAAGTCATACATGAAGGCGTTTCTCCGAGTCCAGTCCAGACTCCYAGCTCCACACCCAGCTCCCAGAGCACAGTAACGTCCCCTCAGAGTCCTCTGTCWGAGACCTTCCTCTGGCCGGACGTTCAGGAGCTGCGTTCCAAATACACGGACAAGTCCCGCTCTCTGAAASCCGCCTGCGTTTGCACGGTCTCCAACGGACTCTGCAGGACCAGGTGTGACGGTTGCTCTCAGAAGTACAGCAGCTCCTCGGAGCTTCACAGCGCTCAGACAGACCGGACGGCCCTCTGCAGGAAGCCTCCGTACGAGGACAGGTGTCGGGTGTCAGAGGACTGGCCTCAGCACCAGACGCGTCCTTCGCTCTGCCGGTGGAGCTCTGTGGACCACGTCATCGGGTCTCTGCCCCTCCACGAAGTGCAGAACCTCCAGGAACCCGTGCGGACCTGCGCTCCTGTTTGCAAAGTCCAAAGCGAGGACAGTCTGCTACGGGACGGCGTCTTGTCCTCAGAAAGTTTTCGCGTGAAAAGTTTACGAGAGAAGTTCCAGAGTTTAGGCTCGAGCTGATGATGTTTTAATATCAGGAGACTTTAGRCGGTCAACTGATGATTTTTTAAATATTTATTCTGAAATTGTTTCCCCTCAAAAAAACACTAATTACTGTCTGCATGAAGACGCAGGAAGTAGTGGGTAACAAAACACCTGTGTAACAAAACATGGATGCTCCTGGTAAGAAGGAAAGTATCCTCCCTTTTAAAATTGTGCACAATAACGATTTGTCTTTATGTAAAAACATAAAGCCTCCTGTATCAAAACTTAGACACTTTTTAAATCTTAAATCCTCTGTCGACTGCTTTTATCATTACAGTCACAGAAGCACAGTTGTGAATAATTCTTTAAGGGTTTCAGGAGAATCTGAGAGCTTTGCTGTTGAGACACCAAAGATGGTGCTGATGCAGACGGACAACGAAAATCTGCTTCCACATTTTTTCTTAAGCTGCTTGGAAAACAGTTGCACACGTCACTGGAGCTTTATTTTTATGGACAGGTTGTATATTTTCTTAAAGATTATTTATAAAACTGTACATTTGGGTTGTGGAAACTGGACTCGGCAACTCGTTTGTTACATTTTAGTAGCTGAATGTGCATTTGTTTCATATGTGCAGCTTCTCATATTTTCAATAAAAATACAAACATTAAGAACGACCAGACTCAGGTTTTGGCCTAATGTTCATTTACTTTTTCTTGCTTTTCAGAACTTTCTGATATTTTGAAGCTTATTTGTTTACAGTCTGTTGGTGCTGGATTTTATAAAATTAGGATAAACCTTCTCAAACATGATGTTTGAGGAGATCAGTCTGGTAAACACTGAACATCTGCGAAACGTGATGTTTCAGTTAATCTCACAAGCCGTTCTTTGGAAACATTTTGAAGCGGCTTAAATTTCTGAAGACAATCAGCTCTTCTCGTGCTTCGTTGTCATCGATTAAATTTTACAGAGTTTTKTAGCTGCTTCCGTAAGATTGTGTCTGCTCATTAATGTGACAAGATTTGATAAGTAGATATTTATCACTGCTTGTAACGAGATGTCAATTATTTTAATTTAGTCTGATCTTAGAGCTCAAATCATCCGAACTCCTCTGTATCCCTGCTTTTTTTTTTTTTTTTTTTTGGTTCTCCAAAAATATTCAGCCATATTATTCTTCTTGTTTTATAATGTGAAAAGAAAATTCTTCCTTTACAGTTTGACAGTTTAGAGATTCACAATTTATAACAGAAAATARCCAAAATTTGTGCAATAAGATTAACATCAAACTACAGAGTGGGATTAGAGCAAAAATTAAAAAAAGAAAAAGAAAAATCTGAATTCTGACTTTAAACTTTAAACTACTTTGGCCCTAATCCTATTCCCTCGTAAACTGACAATAAAAAAAGGCAAATTTGTTAGCATTTTGTTGTTCGCTGCCAAAATCATTATGTTGTTACCTGTGTGTTTGTTTGTCTGTTAGCAAAATATCACCTGAACAACAAGACATATCTGGTGAGACTGTCAGACCTCATCAGTGAATATAACTGGCGAGGAGAGAAGCAGGCGATATGCTCTCCTTTAAAGTGGTCCCCAAAGTTGGGGTCAGGACCCCTGCTGGGCCCTCTAAATACAAACTTCGCCAAAAGAATAGTATCCAAGTACGATGTGGAGGCGACTYATCTGGGACAGAGATAGCAGAAAATGTTTTTAAAAAGGCAAATGCCAAGCTTAAGACAAGCTGGACATGTCAACCTAAAAACAAAACAAAAAAATGCTTGTGTCAGCATTAGCTCTGTCACTTTGACTATGCTTGCACATTCTGGTATTCCAGACTAAGTAAACACTATAAAACTAAGTTACAACATACTCAGAACAAAGTGATAATATATCTATTAAATGTAGGAACTCACGCACACATTGGAGCACAACAGGTTGGAATGCTACCATGTGAGCTACAGCTTAATCAATAAAGTAGTCTATAATCTTCTTCATTGCTTTGTAAACAAGCTCCAAACTACTCATCTCAACAGTTTGAACCAGTAAGAAATCAACAATCAGTTGGAACAAGGTTTAGAAAATCCTCTTTTCATTATACTGGGGTATTGTTGTNAGTTACCAGAGTATATTCAGGTTACTGCATACAAGCCTCTATCAAAGGCTAGTCAGGCAAGAATCAGATGATTATATTTATTATTAGTATTTTGTGTTATTTGTGTGTAAGTGGTTTTGTGTGATGATTATGTGCTGGACCACACTGGAAATAAGCTTTATGCTTCATTGTGTTATCCATTTATGTTAATGTTATTGTATATTATATGCAGTGCCATTTACATAATATTAGAATGAATGAATGAATGAATGACTGAATGAATGAATGAATGAATGAATAGTGGGGTCCTGAAACATCAAGGTGGGGGTCCTGAAAAGATTTTCTGATTTGATTAATTAATTAGTGTTGAAGCGTTAGTGATGGCTATTGTCACAGGATGATGACATCATAGAGCAACGGCTACTTTCCATTCCAAAATACCTCAACTTCAACATTTAACTTCAATAACTTTAACATTTAGGATTTGATATTTAATATTTTTTAACATTTAAATTTAACATTTAGTAAAAATTGGCTAAATGTAAGAACAGTGAGCAAAATAATAAAATATTAGTGGAAAATTTTAACACTCAAAAAGTGAGCTAAATAATGGAAAACATGTTTTTTTTTCTCCTTACATTTCATTTTTACACTTGTCGTCCCAGTTTAACCCGTTTTAATTTGAAAAGCTTCGTAAAGTCAGCGTCAAACGCACCGACCGGAACCAGGAACGAGCGTGATGGCTTTTCAAAATAAAAGCCGCAGCTCTCCCTCACATCTGCTTCCATCAGACACGTCTTAGTTTTATTTTTGAGCCAATGAAGCAGAAGCTCTCTGTCTGCTTTAACTTGAAGCAGGTTTGTGATTTTCCACCAGAGGAGGGAGACAGACCCTGACGCTCACACCGGCTCGTTTTCTCATCAACCTTTGTTTTTTTTGTCCTCCTTTCTTTTTTATTTTCTTTTTCTTTGTTTCAGATGAAGAATGGGCTGCGCAATATCAGGTCTGGCCGCTAAATCGGAGTTTTCCCAGAAGGACCGAGAGGAGGATGCTGCCCACCCCAGCCAGGAGCACATCCAGATGATTAAAGACTCGTGGAAAGTTATCCGGGATGATATCGCCAAAGTTGGGATTATAATGTTTGTCAGGTAGGTGTTTTTTTTTTTAACACCATTTCTTCTCTCTGGTGCTAATAACTCACATTTTTTATGTAGTTAGGAAAAGGTTTAAGATCACTTTAACCAGCCTTTTAAAAAAACTACAGGTTTTAATATATATTGAGACTTTTACTCTAGTTGTGGGTTTTTTTTTTTCAATAAAATAAAACATTTAATTCAGTACATTTTAATATGAGGCATCAAAATGAAACAAATATGAAGCCTTTTCCAGACACCCACAGTCTGCTGACCTCCTGACCTCRGGGGTCTCCAGAACATCCCTCCCTCTGCTGGCCCTTCTGACCCACAGCTTTTTATTCACCAACCTCTCCTCCTCCTCTTCCTCKCTTATCACTTCACATTACATCCTAACATCATTACACAACAAATCCAGGGCCCCTGCTCTGTCATATCGTTATAGAATTAGAGGAATTAGCCATCAGGAAACTCATTTTTATCCGTTTTAATGAWACCAAACATCCAGGAAAACCTCTTTCACTCTCAGTTTATGGAGGAAAATTAAGCAAATAATGGAAACGAATGATTAAAGTGATAAACTGTTAGTAGACRGGTGATAAATCACATGATGGAACTCAATATTGAACATTGTTTTCCTGTGGCCGGRCTAATGTAGGTCAGTCACGACTCAGCTTTGCTTACGTTGAGTGCGTACCTGCACTCCAGAACAACACATTTGGAAAACTGCTGGAGTAAACTCAAAACGGCGCCATTTGAATTAACGCTGAGTTATTCTATGTGAACCTTTTATTCAGCACCGGTTTGTGTTCAACCTGTAAATTTGTCCCTCGGGGACAAAACGAAGAGTGCAACAGAACAATTTTGAATAATACGTCGTTAGACTGAATGCAGGCGTCCAATTAAAATTCCACTTCAGCTATTTTAGTGGGGGGTGCAGCCCGGCCTGCATGTGTTCTGAGTGCACTCGTGTCCACAAGAGGAACAAACAAAAGGCTGAGCTCTGCATGCTGCAGGTGTGGAGACAGTGGAAGCAGACGGTATTGTTTTTATTTTGATTGTGGAAGAAATGGCTGCAGGGGGCAAAAAAATGCATAAAATCTCATTGCTTTATTTCCACAGCAAACAATAATTCACATWATGTAAAAATGAGAATATTTTGTTCACTTTCTGTAATTTAATCAGTCATGAACTGAGAACCTGAACATGARCCTGTTTGCATGTTTTATGGTTAATTGTTGTATTGTTTACATTGTAGGTACATAATAAAGTAGAGATGGAACAAACAKGATATGAAGCTTTTGCTTCAAATAAACACGAAGATGCTCATTCTTTCCGTAGATCTCTCTGCAGGCTAAAAGAGACTCAGAGCTGCGACAAATGTGGTGATTTTCTTCATCCTTTCTCTAAATAACACCCCAAAAACCTCAATGTATCAATGTCCCTGTCAGTCCAGGAGCCACTGCTGAGGAAACGTGACGCATTTATTCATGGAGACGTTTTCAGATTYGAGAATAAAAACTTTTCTCTCCAGCAGTGCTGATGGAAACAACAAATTATAATAACGAACTGTTAGAATAGCCATGCGCGTTATTAAGGGAGCAACAAGAAACACTGAAGCACCTTTTTCTGCTCTTTTGGAAAGAAAATAAATATACGTTTGTTGTGAAGCTTTAATATAAAGCATGCAAATTGTACATACGAAGTTTAAAAATATATTACACGGACGGAGCCATTTTATTTACACGCAAAGCATTCTGGGTAAATGATGATGTGGATAGGTCCTCGGTGCGAGGCTGCTAGCGAGCTATATCCACCCTGAAG